TCCATCAAAAACAAGCCCGGTTTGGGGGACATTTTTCCCCTTCCCCTTCCCTGGGAAAAAAAAAAAAAACCCAAAAAAATTCCCCGGGGGAATTTCCCCCCCGAAAATGAAGGGGGGGGGGGGTTAAAAAGAAGTAAAATTTCAAAATTTACCCCCCCCCCCCCCCCCCCCAGGCAGCGACCGGTACAGACATTCCCATAGAACAAAAATTATCCCTCATGGTCGAGTCGAGGACCCTTCCTAGTTTACCATGTTCGGATACTGTATGTGTGCGCAATGTGGTGTGTGTTTAGCTCCCCCGAGGTGCGGGGAAGCTTTCGACTGGGAAAACTTGGCACAGAAACATCCCCGACGAAAGAAAGTCAAACCAACACACGCGTGACGCCATGTCAGTTTGCAACAAACCAACAAACGAAACACAACTCAGCGATCGACTATCAGACTAATGCCAAGACTCGAACCAACACATTGCTCCATCGGTATAACCTCCTCCCCTCTCCCACACCCATCAAGATCACCATGTAGTATGCATGCATGCGGTTGGCACTTCGAAACCGCCTCCGTGTGATAATAAACACAAGCAAACATTACATGTCCGTTGTAGTACTCCGCGAAGCCGGTACTGCATGGCATGGCTCCTCTGGATCGGCGCCCCGGGCACCGCCCGTGAAAAATCACGACAAAGGCAGGCAGGTCCAGAGACCCAAAAACTTCTTCCACACAACGCCATCGGGGAAAACCGTACAATACCCTTCCGGCGATTCGGTCAAATCCATACCATACGTGTTGATCTATATACGGGCAATAACACGAAGTCACCATCACATCACCCACACTCATAAAAAAAGGCCCGCGGTTTGTCCCGTCGTCGTGTTGCTGCCGGGAATACCACACTCCCCTTTTCCCGTGCTCTCTATTGTACCAGCCACTGCCATGTCGGTGTGGGGAGCGCCCGAACATTTGTGATACATGTACAACTCTGAAGAAGAAGACACCTTCCCCCGACCTCAAGAATTTTGCATCTTACTAGAGGAGGGCAGGCCGACAAGCTATGCGTAACACCCCTGGGACTACTTAGATCATAACGGTAACTGCTCTAAAACTCACCACAACGTGCTTGCGCAACGACACTCCTAAACGTCCGCGCACGAAATTCCTACACAACATTTACTTGGAGGTTGGTGATGAGATGGCTTGAACTGCCAAGTTTGCACATGTACACGGTTAGGTATCGATGGAATACGGCATGTCAAAAGAGCACACGGCACCCGTGAAAGCAAAACGTGGAGCCAGGTTCCGACCGGCACAAAACCGGCATGTACACCTTTTCGAATTTACCTCTAGAGCGGAAGCAGCAAGGCCAGCGGCCTTGACTACAACGATAGTCTACGGAACACACAACAATGCGATCTCTACACGTATTCTGGTATACCACCAGCGGCCCGAAGAGCGCGCACGCCAGCGCTCTCGCGGCCGTATTTTGTGTTTCCCGACAAGGACCCGTTGTCGAAACCAAACAGAACCTCTACCCGACAACAAACGCCCGAATGCCCAGAGCCCCGCTCGCGTCACATCGATTCACTACTGCCGTGCCATCGACCGACCACCTTTGACGATATATCCTACGCCCCCCCTATACCCCTCTTGAATATTATCCCGCCTCCAAGCAGCCGAAACAAAAAATGTCAAAATGTCTCCCCCTCCCCGTCAGCCGGGCGTGGTGCACTCCCCCCGCCCCACGTCGCCAGCAACGCCTCCTCGGTGTTCCTATCCGAATCGCGCCTGCTTCGAATGGTGATGATGGATGAGGCCAGCCGACGTTGCCAGCCGCGGGCCGAGGCACGTCGCTGGTGAGGCAACCGCAGCGACACCAGCGGCGTAACCCCCTCCGCCGCTGCTGCCGCCGCCGCTGCTGCTGTCAAGGGGACGCACGGACAACCTCGTGGAGGCCTGCTGCCTCGACGGCGCTGGGGTCGCAAGGGCGGAGGGCATCGACTGCCCCACCCGGGCACGACCGGCGCCCCAGTCCCCCCCCCACCCCTGACCTCTTTCGACTCCGAATCTCTGTCCTGCTTCCCCTTCTCCCGCCCCCACACTCCCGCCCCTCCCTTGAAACCCGAGCCGGTTACACCGCCCTTCTCCAGCCCGAGAGCAGCCACCAGCTACGGCGCCGTTCGAAGCCATCCAGCCCGCGTGCTTCGACAACACCCACTCCGCCTCGGGCTTGGCCCTGCCCCCACCCTCAACAACCACCGTCGGTGCCGGCGCGCGACGCACAACTGTCGCTGCCGCAGCAACCGCAGCAGCCGCCGCCGTCGGTGCCCTTGCCGCCCACCCACCTCTCCCCCCGCACCCCGGTTGGCAGGGACCCCCAGCTCGGCCGCCGATCTCGCCGCTTTTCACGGCGTTAATCCTAGCCGCAGCAACGCCCCCTTGGCCGGTAGTCCCCGACGCGCTACCGCCGCCGCTGCCGCCATCAGCCGAGGAGGGCCTTGCCCACGCGCTCGCTGCCGTTGGCCCACCCCTCGCTCCGGTCCCCGTCCGCGCCTCGGCCTCGCGGTCACCCTCGAGGCTACCGTTGCCACCACCGCTGCTGGTACCGACGGCGGCGGCGGCGGCGGTCCGATCGCACCAGCCGACGTCGATGGCTTGAGAGGAGATGAGCGGCGGCCGTTGGTGCTGGCGCTGTTGGATTGTTGCGGCCGAGCCTGACGACGAGGATGGGGACCGTGACCGCGGGTCGCTCGATGCCCCGCCGTGGAGCTCCTTGTGCTGCACCTGCTTAGACTCCTGGGCGAGCTGTTGGAGGATGGAAGGGGAGGCAGACAGGGACAGGAACGGAGACAGAGAAAAATAGCCAGAGAGAGAGAGCGAGAGAGAGCGAGAGAGAGAGAGAGAGAGAGAGAGAGAGAGAGAAGGAGAGAGAGAGAGAGAGAGAGAGAGAGATAGCGCGATAGCGAGATAGCCAGAGAGAGACAGAGAGAGAGACGGTGAGGGAGAGAGACAGACAGAGACAGACACAGACAGACAGAGACAGAGAGACACACACAGAGAGGGATGAATATCATGACGCGAAGAAGTTGGCAAGTGGCTAAAAAGGGATGGGACCACAAGATGAGGGGCGTGATGGAACACAACACAGCCAAGGAACTGCATGCACACCACGGCACACCCACGTCCGACGTGCTCGGGGATAGCCAAACGCGTCCTCTCAACCCCTCGCGTTCGAATAATTCCACAAGTTCTTGTTGCAAGTGCTGCACCCCTCTCTTGCTCGCCACGCACAAAATCCAGGTGCACACCAGCATCTCAAACCACAGCAGTAGTGGGGGGCCCTCAATAACGTCGGCACGTCCCCGTCGATATCAACCGGCGTCATTCAGAGCGACCAGCGTTATTCAGAGCACAAGGATGACTTGGTGTCTGTACCGAGCACTTTCACCGGCGCCACCGGTCCCCATTCAACCGGCGTTTTTCGGCCCCCCGCACTGCATCCCAAAGCCCCTGCCGTCCCAACAACACTGAACTCCTTGCCTGCATGAAGGCTTCCACGACCGTGAGCTCGTTCTTCATGACGGACTTCATGCCCTCTCCGGTCCTCAAGAAGCACATGTGCTCGATGTCCCTGAAGATCTGTTCCACCTGAACCACGCGCTTCGCCACCCCGGGGTACCTGCAAAACTCGTGCGGGAAGCAAAACAACGGTCTTTACTTGCAAGTCGGTGAGCCACCGCAACTTGACGCAAACCATAGAAAATCACGGGACAATCAATCAAATGGCAGGGCTTAACTAAAGAGATAGATGCCCACAACACTCCCTCCCGTTCAGACCTGGTTGCACCCCAAGGAAGAGAAACAGGCGTCGCGAGGGAAGAGTGTAAGGCCGTTCTTCCAAACACATGTTCTGATTGCGCCGACGCTAGGCACGGCAAAAACAAGCCAACAGCAAGGGAGAGAGAGAGAGAGAGCTCGATCGGAACCACCACGATTCGGCCACTGTACGGTTCCCGAGCCAAGCAGCTGCGGAGACTAACAAGCAAAATAAAACAGTGCTTCGCATCGTAACAAGGGCGCGGACGGAAGAAGCACGCGACGGGCACCAGCACCAGCACCAGAACCCAACTTGAAACGTCGAAAGGCAAGGCACCACCGTCAGCAAGAGCACCGAAACTTCCTGCACCTGAGAGACAGCTGAAGTGTTGCAGGCACCTCTCTCTCTCTCTTTCTACTGTACCACCTTTCCCCCCGCCTCTACCCCTTCCTCCCCTTCTCACATGGCGAACGGCTGATCGGCCATGACCTCCGCCATGAACGGCCGCTGGTCCGAGGTGCCCGCAAGCTTGTCGCGCTTCTTGAGGAGCTTGATCACCGCCGTGTAGTTCAGCATAGCGAAGTCCTCCACGAGCAGAGCGTCGCGGTAGAAGTTCACGCACGCCTGCAGCAAAGAGGGGCGGCGGGGGAGGTTTGGGGTGGGTGGGTACGGATTTTCACAGCAGTATCCTGGGTGTAGCAGGGAGGGAATCTCATTTGATTATTTGCGGCCTTCCATCGTGAGAACAGACCACGTACAACAGGACCCGCCGCACCAAAAAAATTGCTCTGGGCGGAGGGGGGGTTCAGAGAGGGACATTTCAAAACATGATAACTTTTCGCCCCGGCATCGGATTTCCAATAAACAAACTGCGTCGGATAGCTGACGAGCTGAAGTTTTGCTAGCGATTTTTGTTTTTATTTTTTGGAAAACGGGGCACAAAGATATTGTTATTCTTCAACAAAATCAACCCTCTCCCTCGAATTTGATTGTTATTTTCTCGAACAGCCTGGGCTATTGAAAAAACTCCGAGATATTCGTGCCCC